CCGTTGCCTTCATGCCAAGGGCCTAAGTTCAATCCAAAAAAAAAAAAAAAAAGATGCCCAGAAGGGTAGTGCCTCGAAGAACAGCAAAGCAGAGTGGTGGGATAAAAAAGGACAAGATGCAGGTCTGTATTTTTGTTCTTTTGGTTTTTGAGACAGGGTCTTGCTATATAGTCTGGGCTCGTCTTGAATTTACTTTGTTTTTTGTTTTGTTTTATTTTTTGGTACTGGGGAATCGAACTTGGGACCTTGTGTTTGCGAGGCAGGTGGTGGAACCACTGAGCTACATTCCCCAGCTTGAACTCACTTTGTAGTCCAGGCTGTTCTTGAACTTGCAGTGATCCTCCTGCCTCAGCCTCCCGACTGCTGGGATCATGGGCCTCCCAGTGAGGGCCTACTTTAGCTGAGGTGGTCAGGGAAGGGCTCCCTGAGAAGGTGACCTGAATGAAGAGAGGGACCGAGGCCGATGGCTGATGTGTCAGGGAGGACAGGTGTGGGGCAAAGGTGCTGGGCTGGGCGCCACAAGAGTCTGTGATCCGAGAGGAGAGGCTGTGCTGGCTGTGGGTACTGACAGGCTCCCTCTGGCTGCCCTGCAGGGAGCAGACTGTTGAGAACCTATCGCACTTATCCAGTGCAAGACAGTGGGAGCTTGGAGGCCGAGAGGCACAGCCTGGCCTGGTGAGAAGTACTGATGTGAGGAAGGCAATGTTAGGGCCTGTGGGTGGGGCGGCTGGGGAGAACCGGCATGAGCCTCCCAAGGATGTGGCTGCCTTTGACTGAGATGTGAAGTTGGCGCGGGGAGGCACATCTGCAGGGAGCAGTGAGAGCTCAGGTTCGTTTTTCTTGTTTGTTCTTGGGTTTTTTTTTTTTTCTTCTTCTTCTTTTTTTTTCCTAGTACAGGGAATTGAACTCAGGACCTTGTGCTTGCCAGGCAGGGATGGTGCCACTGAGCTACAATCTCTAGCCCCCTTTAGTTTCTTTTATTTTTAGACAGAGACTCACATGCCAGGCTCATAGCCTAGGTTGGCCTCCAACTCAGGGCAATCCTCCTGCCTCAGCCGCCCGAGTGCATAGATTACAGGTGGGCACCACCACGCCCAGCTCTCAGATTTAGGAACTTGACCTGCCTGTTGGACAGCCAGGTGGGGAGATGGCTGGAAGATGTGGGTTCAGAGGTGAGAGGAGAGGCTTGGGCTGAGAAAGTGCTAGAAGTATCTTGATGGTACTTAAAGGGACCATCAAGGGAAGGCGTGACATCTTAAACTGGGCCACTATAACACAGATACTATAAACTGGGTGGCTTTCACAACCAAATATTTAAACTGGGTGTGGTGGCACATGCCTGTAATGCCAGCACTAGGGAGACTGGGGCAGGAGGATCGCCACACATTGAAGGCCAGCCTGGGCTCCATAGTGAGTTCAAAGCCAGCCTGGACTACTTAGAGAGATCCTGTCTCAAAAACACAAAAATAAAAGAGAGAGAGAGAGGGAGAGAAAGAATACAGGCAAATGCATCTGACTGGCTGAAGCAGGAGCTTGTACACATAGTGCCGGGGCGGGCGGAGGAGGTGGCAGAGGCCCCGACAGAGAGCTGTCCCTGGGGGAGGCGGCCTGAGGCATCAGAGCAGCTTCCTTGTTCCCCAGCGGGTGGCAGCCTGGGAGGTGACCTCTCTCTGATCCTGCTTTCTCCTCTGCGTTCTCCCGGTGAACTCAGGCCATAAATATTTACTAGGTGCCCACTGTGTCGCCTGAATGGCCCCGGCCCCAGGGTGCAGCCTGCCGGGCTCTGTGCTGGAGAGCTGGCCAGGCGCTCTGGGGTGGGCTCCCCAGACACTGGGCAGGGTGCCCTCCTCCCTTCCGGGTCCAGGACTGACTCTCGATAGGAGGCTGGAAGTCTGCCCTCCCGTGGCAGGATCCAGCTTCTTCTTCTGTGTCTCTGTCCTCCTGTCCACCTCTCCCACCCTTCTCATCCCCTTTCTCTTTGTGGTATTTTGAGACAAGATCTGGCTATGTAGCCCAGACTGGTCTTGAACATTTCATGATCCTCCTGCCTCAGCCTCCCAAGCGCTGAGATTACAGGCGTGTGCTGCTCGATCCAGAAAGGGATATAAATTTTTTTTAATGTAAATTTTTTTTCCTTGGGGAGGGACACGAATATTTAGGGGATATTCTCAACCTATTCTGTCTAGTTAAATTTCATATAAGCTGAAGAACTGCTTTAGTGCAAGCATGCCTTATGCAATCCAGTCTTCAAACATTGCCTAGAACATACTTCAACAAAAGTTTTTCGTATGTGTGTATATATTAAAAACTGTGGGGCTGGGGATGTAGTTCAGTGGTGCCTCTTCCTGCCTTGAAAGCGCAAGGACCCGAGTTCCATCCCCAATACCCAAAACCAAAACCAAAACCAAAGCAACAACAATAACAACAAAAAACTGGTTCATTTTATTTTCTTTTGTTTTGTTTTTGAGAGGGTTTTGCTATATTATCCAGGCTGCCCTCAAACTCGCGATCCTCCTGCCTCAGCTTCCCAAATGCTTAAATCACAGGCATGTACCACCACACTGGCATTTACATTATATATAAGATGTATATTCTGTACAATATATGTGTGTGTATATAAAACATATATATAATATAATATATTATATATATATATATATGATATGTATTTTCTTCTTTTTCTTTCACAATCATAAGTGAGAGAAGCAAGCGAGGGAAAGGTGTTGTACAATTTTAAGCGAGGCAGTCAGGAGAGGCCTGCTAAGGAGACCACGTACAAGTGCAGCCTTGAAGGAAGGGGAACCAGTACAGCACAAATCTTGAGAGCAGAGGGTGCAAAGGCCCTGAGGCAGGAGTGTGTGCCATTTTTGTAGGAAGAGCAAGGAGGTCTGAAGGGCTCCACTAATCCAAGGGAAGAGGGCTGGAAAAGGGGGTGGAGAGGAGTCAGGATCATACCCCGCAGGGCCCCTGCTCGCGCGTTACAATGAGGACTTTGAGCCCTCACTGCAGAGGCGAACCTGAGCTACTGCACGTGCAAACAGGCACCCTCTGGCGGCCGCTTGTGGACTGACAAGTCGGGAGCCTTGGGCTGGGTCACTGAAAAGCAGGCGCCAGGCCGCTGTCTTGTGAGGGACAGGTGCAGAGGGCCAGGGTGAACACACCACCGTGCAAGGGGACCCAGCTGATTTGGCTTCTGTGTTCAGCCTGTGTGCTCAAGCCAGGAGCCAGGAGTGGTTGGATCGTGTGCCTGTGTCTTACTTGCTTTTTTTTTCTGAGACAAGGTCTCACTATGTAGTCCAGAGTAGTCTTGAATGCACTGTGTAGCCCAGGCTGCCCTCGAACTCATGGTGATCCTCCTGCCTCAGCCTTCTGAGCAATGGGATCATGGGCGTGGGCCACCGGCCTCAGCAGATGCCAGATGCCCCTATTGGTGGATGGGTTGGTTGTGTGAAAAAGAAGGGGCTGAGGGGACCCTGGGCTCTGCGCCTGAGGCCCTGGAGGAGCAGCTTTGGGATAGAACAGCGCTTAGCCTGGGGCAGGCATTGGGAGCCCGGGGTGTCCACAGGGGGGCGTTGGGTGGCCTCAGCTGGGCTGTCAGGCTTGGAGACAGAAGCCTGGGGCTCCTCGCCTGGCAGATGGCATCTGGGGCCCCCAGGGCTGTTTGAGGGTAGGGAAAGGTGGTGACAGTTGCCAGGGGAACCCAGTCCCATTCTTCATTCTGCCGGCAGCTGCCGAGTGGGCCAGTACCAGGTGCGCAATGCAGGACAGAGCGATGCAGAGGGCTGTGACCTGAGGCTGTTGCCAGAACTGCCGGGTGCAGACGGGGGACGGGGGCGTGGTACTGGGCTGATGCAGGACGCATGAGCTGGGCTTCCATACGGGGTCTGCAAGTAGATGAGGACAAAGGCGCCCTTTGTGCAGTGCACGCCCTTCCCAGACCTCCTCAGCCTGCACGGTGGGGAAACTTCGAGAGTGAGCACGGGCCTGGAGTGTCAGAGGCCAGCGATTCAGCAGTGAAGGGAAGGAGGCGGGGGAGGTCTGCCAGCAACAGGTGTGCAAAGTCCCTGTGGTTGGAGGAATAAAGCTGGGGTGGCCGGTGTGTGGCCGCCAAGGAAGATGTTGGTGTTAGTCCCCTTCCAGGAGTCAGGTCCTGGTCCCCAGAGCAATGGGGAGAGACTTGCAAGGGACTTTCTGGTTTTCTTTTCTTGTGTTTGTTGTTTTTTTAGACAGGGTCTCGCAATGTAGCCCAGGCTGGCCTTGAATTCCGGATCGTCCTGCCTCCCAAGGTGGTTGTTTAGGTGAGAGATGAGGGTGGCTTTGGAGAGGAAGGTGGATTCCAGAGATTCAGGAATCCAGGGTGGTGCAGCACACCTGTGATCCCAGCACCCTGGGAGGCTGAGGCATGAGGATCAGGAGTTTGAGCCCAGCCTGGGTAAATTTAGCAAGACCTTGTCTCAAAAAAGTTTGTAAAAGGGGGCTAGGGATGTAGCTCAGTGGGAAGGCCCTGAAGAAAGCGGGGAAGAGAGAGGGTGACAGACATAGAGAGAGGAAGGAAGGAACAGAAAGAGAAAGAATGAATGAGAGGCCTCGCTGGGCCTGTTTAGATATAAATGCCATTAGACCACCACCTGGAAATGTCAAAGAGATCGTTACACAGAAGAGTTTAGTGTAGCTTGGCGTGGTGGGTCGATAATCCCAGTATTCAGGAGGCTGAGGCAGGAGCATCCCTGGGAATTCAAGGCCAGTCTGGGCTATGAAGTGAGTTCAGATCCAGCCTGGGATACATAATGAGACCCTGTCTCATAAAAGCCAACAGAAAAAAAGAAAACTAAGAGCACAGTTGGATCAGTTTGTTTGCATAGCCAATACAGGCCTCGGCTGGGCCAGGGGGAGGCAGTCTCTCAACCATCTGAGGGGTTTATTTGTATATTTATTCATTTATCGCAGCACTGGGACTTAAACCCAGGAGTACTGTGCCGGTAAGCTATGTACCTGTTTCTTTTTAAGCTTTATTTTGATACACAGTCTTGCCAAGTTGCCAGACTGGCCTGAAACTGGTGATCCTCCTGCGTCAGCATTCTGAACAGCTGGGATTATAGTCACGGACCGCTGTGCTGTGCTCTGGAAGGGTCAAGTGTTGGAACATCCTGATATGTGGAATATTAAAACAAGGTGTTTTGGTTTTGCTGTTTGAGACAGAATCTTTCTATGTAATTCAGGCTGGCCTCAAACTCCCAGTGACCCTCCTGCCTCAGCTTCCCAAGTGCGGAGATCACAGGCATGTATCCAGTCCCAGCTTGAACCATATTTATAGTTTAGTGGGTCTGAGTGCATCTAAACTGGCAGAACAGACCAGAACAGAGTTCCAAGGGAGCAGTGGCACTTTCGCCCCCACTGTGGACCAGCGCAGACTCAGCTTCCCGGCTGGGCAGCCTGGCCCGAGGAGGAGGGACCAGTGCCCTGGCTGTGGAACCAGGTCAGGGTGGGACTGGGAGGCCCGGTGGAGCGCACAGGGAAGGCCCGGGACTGGGCCTGCTTCCACTGCCTCTGGAGCATGCCTGGCTCTCTCTGCAGGCTCTGTATGACCCCATCAACCCTGACAGGGAGACCCTGGACCAGCTGTCACTCACCGACACCCAGCGTCGGTCCAACGAGCAGGAGGTGCTGCGGGCCCTGGAGCCGCTGTTGGCGCAGGCCAACTTCTCCCTGCTGTCGGAGGACGCCCTGGCCTATGCACTGGTGGTCCATCACCCTCAGGATGAGGTCCAGGTACCTGGTTTCTGGGGTGAGCCGGGCTCCCAGGGTCCCCGCGGTGTGTTCTAAATACACGGTCTTGGCCCCGGACACACTTGGTGAATTTGAGAAGAGGCCCCTCTCGTGGGTCACTTCAGTGCGTCAAACCAGGAAGCTGAGGCAGGAGGCTTACAAGTTTGAACTCAGCCTAGGCAATTTAGCAACTTAGTGAGACCCTGTCTCTAAAATAAATAAATAGGGGCCGGGGACTTAGCTCAGGGGCGCTGCACCTGCCTTGCAAGTGCAAGCTCCTGAATTCCATCCTCAGTACTGGAAAAAAAAATAAAATAAAATTTTAGAAAGGGCTGGGCATGTAGCTCAATGTGAAAGCTCTGGATTCAATCCTCAGTATGAAAAAAAACAAAGAAAAGATGAAACAGAAATAAAAAGTATCATCATATATGGATCTTCTTAGGACTAGCAACTTTATCATCACTTACCGGAAAATAGTAATAATAAATGACATGAAAACTTCATCCTTGCCATACGCCTATAATCCCAGTAATTTGGGGGCTGATGCAGGACGGTCACTGTGCCTTTGAGGCCAGTCTGGGCTACATAGTGAATTCAAGGCCAGCATGAACTACATAGCATACATACATATTTCTGCCTCAGAAAATAAAACAAAAAAATCCCCTTCTTAAAGTTAAAAAAATAATAAAAATACTAAAATCTCTCAAAGTCCCACATTTTAGTAATTTTTTGGAGGGGCACTGGGGATTGCATCTAGAGCCTTTGCATGGAGCCACATCCCCAATTTTTTTTATTTTTTATTTTGTGGCAGATGCTTGCTAAGTCAGTCACTACGTTGCCCAGGCTGGCCTTGAACTTGTGGTCCTCCTGCCTCAGCTTCCTGAGTACTGGGATTATAGGCAGGCACCACCATGCCTAACAAGTGAGATATTTTAAAGTCAGTGGCATTTTAGAGACTAGGAGTTGTGGTGTCTCTGTCACTTTCCCATCACTGGGACAAAATACCCGACACCTGCAACTTACAGGAAGAGAGGTTTATTTTGGTTCATGGTTTTCAGAGGGTTCAGTCCATGGTAGGCTCAAAGATGGGAAGAACTTGGTGGAAGGGCCTGGTAGAGGACGGTGCTCATCTCATGGCAGCCAGGAAATGGAGAGAGGGGAGAGGAGCTGGTGACGAAAACACAGCCCCAGCGACCCACTTCCTACCCAGGCCCCACCTGCTAACTCCTAACACCACGTTCAGCCGTGAACTCGAAAGTGGGTTAATCCATTAGTGTCCCCACCCTCTAGTCACCTTCCAGAAGCCCCACGTCTGAATTCATGAGGTCTGGAGGGACACTTTCCATCTGAAACCTCAGCTGTGGTAAGAAAGCTGACTACGACCTGAACGATGCTGTTGTAGGTGGTAATGCCCTTGTGCAGTGCACAACATCAACAGCCTTACAGGGCTTCTCTGCCTGGATCCAGAATGATGCTACGTGTCATCAGGTGGGGGAAACCAACTCTGGGAAGGGCATCTATGCTGGGGTCCTGCCCCTCACTCCTCTGCTTCCTTCGTTGCCCCTGGCAGGTGACAATAAATTTGGATCAGTACATCTACATGCATTTCTGGGCCCTGGGCCAAAGAGTGGGGCAGATGCCCCGCTTGTCCAGCGTGGGCTCCAGGCGAGGCTTCTTCACCAAGCAGCCCCCTGCAGAGAGGTGAGCCCGGCCGTTCCCCAGCTGCTGCGGGAGGAGTCCGGGTTAGGGTGGAGAGGGCACCGAGGTCACTGTGGGGTTAGGGGGAAGTGGAGGCAGGCAGAGGCAGTTAGCCGGTGCTGCTTTTCTTCCCAGAGGGAGAGAAGGGGTAGGGACGGCTCTGGTGGGCAGCCACAGGCGGTCAGCTGGATCGTGTCGTCTGGCCGACCCGACCCGGCGGTTGGACCCGCAGCTGACTCCCCGCCTGCGGGAAGTCGCCTCTCGCTATGGAGCCCGGGGCCCCCTGACCCCTTCCCCCCGCAGGCGGTACTTCAAGCGGGTGGTGCTGGCAGCCAGGACCAAGCGGGGCCACCTGGTGCTGAAGAGCTTCAAGGACACCCCGCTGGAGGGCCTGGAGCAGCTGCTGCCCGAGCTCAAGGTGCGCACGCCCACGCTGCAGCGCGCCGCGCTCAACCTCACGCTGGCCGTGTCCGGCCTGGTGTTCTTCGTCAACGTGGGCATGGTGGTGCTGTCCGACCTCAAGGTGGCCACGTCGCTGCTGCTACTGCTCTTCGCCATCTTCATGGGCCTGCGGGCCTCCAAGGTAACCGCCGCGCAGCCTGGGCTCCCTGGCCGGCAGGTGCTGCTATTGTTAATATTATTTTGCATGACGAAGATGATGATGCATGGTCAATGTTTTGGTGGTGCTTGGGGTGGAACCCAGGGCCTTTGCACGGAGCGACATGCCCAGCCCTTTTTATTTCATTTTATTTTTTTGTTTTGAGACTAGGTCTCACTAAATCATTAAATTGCCCAGGCTGGGCTTGAACTTGTGATCCTCCTGCCTCAGCCTTCCGGAGTGCTGGGAGTACAGGCCGTACCACCTCGTCCTGCCCGCCCCTGTGTTTCCATTCCACACATTACTCCTGCTGTCCTCTCCTCTTCCCGCCTTTATGTGCCTACCACACCGTTGGCAGGTGTCCTAATGGCTCTGTGCCTCAGTTTCCTCATCTGGAAAATGGGAACAAGGGTGAGACCTGCCCTGAGGGTGGTTGCTGTGGCCTGCATGCCACCCCGGTGGCCTCAGGCTCACAGCCACGCAGTGCCGGCTTCCCGCTTCGGGAGGCGCTTTATGAGCTGAGAGGGGTACGATCTATGGCAGCAGCCTGGCTTTGAACCCGCATCTTCGGCCTCGGAGCTGTGTGGTTCCGGACAGGTCCGCCCTGTGGAGCCCACTGCCTTCCGCATGACCTTGGGTTGCTTTCCCTCTCTGTGTCCCTGGAGTCGTGGGACCTACCCGGAGGGGAGCTGGGGGTTAGAGGCGTTCCTGTGTCAGGGCTGAGAGCCGAGCCTGGCACACCCTGGAAATAGCTTGAGAGCTGGCTACTGAGATGGTGGTGATTAGTACTGATCAGACTGTTCCCCGGTTTGCGTCCCAGCGTGGCGTCATTATCATGGGGAGCTGGTTTGTAAATGCACTTCCTGGGCTCCAGCCCAGATGACTGGACTGGAGACTGTGGCCTGGGTCCCAGGGAATTGTTTTTTTTTACCAGACTCCGTTTCTGAGTCCGCTCCATGGGAGTGCAGGCCCGCCTTGTACAGTTGGTCAGGTCGTTCACCGTCTCAGGGCTCCTGGAGCGGGTAGGGTGCCGACACCCTAGCTCTGCTCTGCCTGGAGGCTGGGCTGCCTCTGCTGCCTCTCCCAGGCCTGGCACCGGCCCTGGGAGTGAGGGGCGGCATGAGGCGGCTGCTGTACCCAGTGGGTTGCTTGCTGGCTCGTTGGTTTTCAAGCTGTTTGCCGCCCTCTGGAGAGGTGCTGGGGAAGAGGGGTCATAAATCCTGGAGGCAGTGCCAGGCTGCAGGCTGGAGGACGTGAGCGCCTGGGCCATCAGGAGGTCTGTGGGGAGGGGGATGCTTTCTTCTCTGGACCAGGGCCCAGCAGGAAGGGTGAGGCCCAGAGACAGCCCCGGGCCCTGTCCTCAGGGGAGCAGGGAGACGGAAGGGACCATGGAGGACCAAGGGTGGGGCAGCAATAGGCCCAGATGCCAGTGTCCCTGCGCCCAGTGTCCACACCGAGCCCCGGCCGAGAGCCGCCCACCTGTTCCATCCCTCAGTGGCCCTGGGGTCTCCAGAATCTCTCAGGCTGATGAGCCCTGTTTCAAACCCAGCGCAGCCGGGTGTGGTGGCGCAGTAATTCCAGCACACTGGGAGGCTGAGGCAGGAGGATTGTAAAGTTGATTGCAGCTTGGGCAAATTGGCCACTTAGGAAGACCCTGCCTCAAAATAAAATATAAGGAAAGGAGGGGCCAGGGATTTAGCTCAGTGGCACTGTGCCTGCCTCACAAGGGCAAGGTCTTGAGTTTGATTCCGGTACCAAAAAAAAAAAAAAAAAAAAAGGCC